TCTCTCCTGTACAAGATGCTCCAGCAACACCATGTCTCTATAGCACAGGGGTTATTACCATGCCTTTCTTTTTACAGTGGAGGAAGTAATTTTAAAGTTGGGGTTATTGTGCATTCCATCAGAAACAGGAACCTCCTCCATAGTAGACTTCAAAATCTCAAACCTCTCCTTTGGCTGTCAAAGTTGGAACCTAGGGACTTCATTCTGACTTGGGGTCCAGACAGAGTATATTTTATGCACTTCTTTAAGGACATCTATCTGTACCACATCTCATGCATTGAGTTAGAAAAGCAGGATCTAGGGTAGCAGTGCCAACTCTTTTATTTTGTTAATGAAACAGTGAGCACTTTAAGGGCAGGCCTAATTTACGCATTTCTTGGGTTTATGGTTTGATGTATCAGAGGGGTGACTTGCTTGAGTAATTCTGAAGGTGTTTGTTGCCTTCAGGACCACATGCCTGTATCCTTAGAGCATTTGTTGTACCAGGAATTACATAACCAAATAGCCACAGTTAACCAGGGGGAAACAACACCACGGTGGCAATGAGGTAATTGCTCAGCCCAGGCAGGAAGTCAGCTATTAATGCAGAGTCAGGCTTTTGTAATTTTTGACTCAGACTGGTTAAAATTTCCCAAAGTGGGAGAAAATGTTCTGGATCTCAAACGACAGGGATCACACAAAAGACACTTTCTCCTTAGATTGTATCAGAGAGAAAACTAATAGTCCAAGGTGGATGGACCATCTTTACGACCACCAGTGCTCACACAGTCCATAAACAACCACCAGTGCTCACACAGTCTGTGAAACAATTTTGCATGCATTTTCAGTAGCGTCCTTAAAAGCCAGTGTGAGACTTGATACAAAGTAGGCTACTGGGCCCACAGATTTCTTTTAAAAATTGCTTTATTAATCTATGTGTAAGGGTGTTTTGCCTGCATGCATGTCTATGAACTACACGCATGCTCAGTGCCTGAGGAGACCAGAAGAGGGTGTCAGGTCCCCTGGAGCTGGAGTTACAGATGGCTGTGAATCACCATGTGGGTGCTGGGAATTGAACCTGAGCCCTGCGTGTGACCAACCAGACAGTGCTCTTAACTGCTGAGCCTGACACCTCTCTAGCCCCACAAACTCCTCTTCATTGTCTTGGGAGGGGACTCTTTTACGTATAAACTACCAAGGACAGAAGTAGACACCCTAGTTTGCAGTTTTCTTTCTCCCTTGATTCTTTTTGTTTTTGTTTTTGTTTTTTTTTTAGACAGGGTTCCTCTGTGTAGCCCTGGCTGTCTTGGAACTCACTCTGTAGACCAGGCTGGCCTCAAACTCACAGAGATCCGCCTGCCTCTGCCTCCTGAGTGCTGGGATTAAAGGCGTGTGCTACCATACCACCACCACCTGGCCTCCCTTGATTCTTTTTTTTTTTTTTTTTTCCGTGACAGGGTTTCTCTGTGGCTTTGGATTGGAGGTTGTCCTGGAACTAGCTCTCGTAGACCAGGGTGGTCTCGAACTCGCAGAGATCCACCTGCCTCTGCCTCTCGAGTGCTGGGATTACAGGCATGCGCCACCGCCACCCGACCCCTTGATTCTTAAGTAATGTCCTTCTGTCATACTCTGAGGTAAGATAAATTATCCTTGCTGTAGATTATCTTCATGGTACATTCTGCATTATATTAAATGGTACAGTCTGCGTCATATTAAAGAAAAATATTGTCAGATACAGTTTTGGCACAAAGCTTCATCTTATTCTGTGGGGATGAAGATGTTGGGGGCCATGAGGCTGCAAACCCTTAAAGCCCTATTTTCTCTGCAAATCTAGTTTTAAAAGTCAGCTGAACATGCTGAGATGATGCTTTCCTCTAATACAGTCAAATCTAACATAATGTTTTATGTCATACTTGTCCCAAAAGTCTCCTTGGCTTGGTCATGTGTGAGCATTGTCTTGGTTGTTCTCAGAGAAGTAATGGAGCTTGGGAATTGCAGTCCTGAATTGGGAGATTTTGGGGTCTGAATTGGGAGATTTGGGGGTCTATGGGGTTGCTAATAACCCCTATGTAGTTCCCCAGGGACCACAATGACGAAGCAGTGCAGTCTACAAGTTTTCACCTCAGACTTTCTGGAGAAGCTGTTTGCATCTGCAAGGCATCCACCAGAAACCAGGTCATGGCCCTGAAATAGCTGTGGCTTCCTGGTGACCTTGCAGTAGAGGTGCAGAGTGGCTCCTAACTTTGCAAAGGATGAGATGCATTTGTTTCTGCCCCTGACAGCAGTGTGACTGTGGTGTGACTGTAAGCTTTGGGATGGACTTCTAAGGAAAGAAAGCTCAAGTTGGCTGAGAACAAGTACCACAAAACCAAACTTAGGATTCTGTCCTTCCTTCTGTATTAGACAGCTATGACTGAGGAAAATTCAATTAAAATTCTATTGCTCAAACAGAATATTTCCATATTCTTATTGGACTCTGTAATTGCACACTTGAAAGACAGACAACTCAAGTGGCTTCATTAGCATTTTTAGGACTTTCATGGGGTGAGTTCTTCCAAAGGAATGAAGTACCTGGAGCCTTGATTCCAACTGATTGGATTGGGAAAGTATGACTGCTTCCAGCCTGTCTCCCAGCAAGCTCCTCAGGAGAAAGTTACTGCTATCCATGTAACAACTAAACTGGATTTGCCAACTTTTAAAACAAACAATTGGAAAGTATAATTTTGAGGAGGAGTTTATCAGTTACAGATTGTTTCCTTAATCATCCCTGATATTTCACAGTTCTAAATATTGACTTTTCCTCAATAATAAAAATAATAATTAAAGCATACAACACACCGTGTAATTCTATCTATCATAGTAGAACATCTATCTGTGAGGACAGAATTGAGAATGGCATTATGATTTGGATCCTTTAGAATTGAGGCACTTGGTAGTCATCTGATCAAGTTCTAGGTTGAAGTGATTGTCTCTTGACTCAAACATTGGTCTGGGTTGAAAGAGGCAAGAGAATGTTTCCAGAGGAGAAGTTTAAAATGCAATTATAAATGCATTTATCTTGCTTTGCTTAGGGACTCCCCATCCCATAATACCATTTGCATAATGGGATACTTTGTTCCCTTTTAAATGTTAAACTTTGAACATTTTATTCCAAGTGCCCATCAAAAAACAAAACAAAACAAAACAAATAAACTTTTAAGCCCTGGGCTTTTCATATGTGTCTGATGCTAAGAATCAATTCATTTTGCCTGTTTTCAGGGAAGTATAAACATTTCCTTATTATTTTTAAACACGTCCAAGATGGCAGAGTTCTAACAAGTTGTAAAATATAGATAAATAGAAGTTAAGAATTTCACCTCCTCTGTCCTCTCCAACCACACAGACACACACACACACAGACACACACACACACACACACACACACACACACACACACACACACCCTCCCACACTGTTCTCTTTGAGGGCCTGGGAGACGCCATTTTTATTACATTGGTGTCTCACTACCCCAGTTCCTTCTCATTTCTTCTGTCTTTGTCTTAAGAGCCCTGGTCACTTAAATCAATGTATGCCAACACTCCTTCCTCCCACTGGTCCCCAGTGCATATGAGCCTGTCTTAAGTCTAATCATCTGGAAAGCTAAATGCTAACTGGAAAAAAGAAATCCCTGCTAATGGAGAATCTATCAGCTCAACACATTTTATTTCCTAAAAGGGACTCTTGGGACCTATAATAGTTGTGTTTACTCATTTAAAAATGGAATTCAAGGCAAGAGGTCAATCAGTGGGCAAGTTGTTAGCAGGAATAGAAACACACAGTTTCCTCCATGTACCATGGGGGCCCTTTCCCCAACCTCAGCACCATCCAGTATAATCACACCTTTGATACAGGGCCCAGAGATAAGTTAAACAGCACAGTAGAGGAACGTGTTTAGGAATGGAAATTAGAACAGAAAATAGCCAAGTTAGAGAGCATCCCATACTAACCTAGGAACCCTTTGCATACTGATTGTAAACACTGCACAGCAGCTTGGATCCCTAAACTCCACTTCTCTGAAATTTTTCATATTTGTGTTAGCAGCTGGCTTCCTTCTGAGTCAACTTTTATTAGTTGGGACACAGAGTATATGGTATTCAATGGTAAAAATGTAGCCTCCTTGACAGTTCTTAATACAGCTATTCATGTAGTCAATAGACTGACCTCCTTGGGTATCTCAGCAGCAGCTCATTTACCCCATCTCCCAAGGATGTTCTTTCTGCAACATTATCTGTTTATTCCTTGTAGTCGGTGTCTTGACTACAGCTGGACGTGGTAAAGCCATGTAGCAAGGAAGAGCAAATCTGCCACTGAGGTGCAAGGCAGGTGGTGGGCGCTTGGTCAAGGTAACAGCGGAGATCCTTCAGATCAAGACCCTCTGTCCAGGGAGTCCAACAAAGTCCATAACAAACCTGATATGCACATGGAGTCCAGCCACAGAGCAGGGGCGTAGGGGGGAGTAGGTGGATATTTAACGGTCATGAGGTAGGAAGTGTGTATAATGGTGATCGTGAACTGAGTTCCTACTATTGAACAAAGGGACTAGCTAGGCAGGAAGATCTGAGCAGTAGAAAGGGACTGAGTTGTGTTCTTGAATCAGCAGACAGGACAGGCACCAAAGAGATCTATGACCTGGGTAATGGGGACAGAAATGGGTAGTACGGTTTCTTGAAACTTGGAATCAAGGAACAGATAATGTATAGGAACTGAACCTTTGAGGAATGGGTTTGTTGGCGGGAGAATTTTCTTCTTCTCGCTGAGTCTCCACAGCTGCTTATGAAATAACCACTCTGAGGCTTAATATCAGTTATAATTGCTTGGCCAATGACCTATGCTTATTACTGGCTAGCTCTCTCTTATAAATTAACCCATTTATACTAATTTGTGCATTTGTTGTTTATTGGTGATGCCCTTGTATCTTTGCTACCCTCATGACTCCATTGTTTATTTTGACTCTGTCTTCCTTCTCCCTGTCTCTTTTTCAGATTTCCCATCTAGATATTCTGCCTGTCTATTGGCTGAAACAACTTTATTCATCAACCAATAAAAGTAATACATATTCTCAGCATAAAGGACATCCCACACCAAAGTTTAAATGTACTGACTTATGATTGGTTTCCATTTATTTCAATCTTACAGCACAATTTAGGAAAGAGCCATCATAGCTTGACGATGAGGTTGGATGTACCACTGTGGCTTTAATAAATTCAGGGACTAAAGATCTATTGGAAAAAACTCTGCTATCAATTGAGAAAACAAGTTTTAAAAAATGAAAAAACATAACTCAAGACACCTTCTTTATTCATCGTGTATCTCTCTCGTTTCCTGCCTTTCTTATCATACTGTGAAAAACTGACTACACTAACATTTTATCTTACTTTTTCTTTTTAAAGAAAGTCACCTTTGAGGAATGGGCTGGGGAGAATTTTGAGACCTGATGCCTCTTCCCTAACTATGGTCTTCTAGGGAGATCCTTCAGCTAAGCTGGCTACCAGATGAGTAGTGACAAGAGGAAGAGACGCGGTGAGAAAGAGGGCGTGGCAAAGCTGACACTGTACCACGTGACCGGAAGGCATAGCTCGCGCTGGCACAAGATGAAACACTAAACATGGAGCATTTTGTCTGACTCCAGCAACGTAGAAATTAGCTTTTTCTAGTTCTCGAATAAAATCCCCAGAGCTTGAGGGACCTCTGCAACTTTCCTGACATCCCACCATCAGGTAGTGTTCCATCAGTTAAGCTCGATCGGTGTGGGGTTCAAGAAAGCAGGTATGCTATGGACCTCCAGTCAGGCCTAAAGAGGAGGCAGGCTCCGCTGGAGGCATGTCTGGACCCCGTGCGGTGAGATGAGGGGGCATGGAAGACACAAAAGGCTGGCAGGGTAGATAGGGTTCCAGAGGGGCTTGAGCCAAGGCCAAGACCAAGCTGCCTTAAATGAGTGGTATCCAAGCCTGGACCTCAGTCATTAGAGGTCTTAATGATGTTTAAATCCTGCCTTAGTTTAAACGTGTGGCGATTCATGGAGTCACCAAGAACATTGATCAAATGGGTTGCAGGCTCCCGTGGATGTAAGAGGATTTGCCTCGAGCCTCTGACAGACACACCTTCTGTTGCAAAGTTCAAGAACCATGACAACAGGAAGCCTGGCACAGGGTCCTCCTCCTGGGTGTTCAGTACTTAACAGGATTGTGAATGACAGGAATGGCTGGAGGAATCCGTCTCTCGGTGGTCTCTCATTAGTGACTGGTAAGTTTTCCCTCATCAAGGCAGCAGGGACCGCATCGGCTAGCTATCAAGGTTGGTGCATCTCTCCTCAGAAAATCAGAATACCTGAGCTCTTTTGGTCATTTGAACCAAACTTTCAGTTAAGACCAGCTTTCTGAAGCAGTTACAGTTAGGAGGGTGGTTCAGTGCAGAGAACCCTGGGAACGTGAATAAATGCTTCTGGAATCTAGGCCCAGCAGGTGGTCCTGATGCAGATTGGACTCTTTGGCTTAGTCTTGCCTGAGGACCCTCCTTCAGGATGCTCCTACTTGGGAAGGCCACAGGCAGAAAGCTTCCCATTCACCTTCAGCCGCTTGTACACACTGGGCAATCCCCAGGACACACCATGGCATCAAGGCCCGGAGCCCCCTGAACTTTGGAAGGCTGCAGTGGCTCATTATTGAAATCCCATCTTGGCATATTTTCCTTCTACATGGCTAGAGTGTAGTGGATAGCAGAATGGAGGAGAGAGAAGACATCCAGGCTATTCTAGCCCTGCTCTCTCCCCCTCACACACAGCTACTCAATCCTACCAATTTGTGCTGCCTAAATACTTCAGTTCTTTTTAACCATCTTGGGGAGGGGGAGGATGAAGTATTACACCAGCTATCGAAGCAAAGCTTGGAGGACAAGGAGTTGCTGAGGCAGAAAATTCCCAAGTGGCTGACTTGATGGATGATAGGACATTGTCTCCTGGGGATGTAATGATTCCAGGCTGCTTTTCAGCAACCAAAAATAAACCTTCCCTCTGCACAACGGGCAGGCGAAGAGCTTAACATCTACATCTGCAGCTTAAGTCTGTTTCCTTTCCTGGGCTTCCCAGGCTCCGACTCAGGTCCTCTCATGTTGGCCTTCAAATCTGGAGCAGGACCGTGGGAAGGACCCTGGGATAATTGCTTTTTGGTTGAGCATCTTTCATCTGAGGATCTTTAAGTACTTTATAAACACTAATTAAATTGCCACAACAAGCAACATTTTAGAATGCATAATGACTGTCTAGCACCCCAACTCTGGGCCAACTCCTTAAAGATGGGGAACTGAAGGATGGCATGGCTAGACTTCAGAGGCTGACTTATCACAGAGGAGAGGCCCCAAGGTGAGTGTTCCTCATTTCCAGTCTGTACAGAAGAGGACCAAAGCCATGGAGAGTCATGTGATCCTTACGCAAATACACACTATGAATTACTACGACTGGAAAGACAATAATATGTCTACGTGCAAACTGTAAAAACTGCAATACTGATACCACTTTAAACATTCTTTCCTGTTCCAAGAAACTTAGCATCTTTTTGTTTCAGTTTTCCACTTATAAAATGGTGACGGACAGGACCCCCAAATCTCTTACACAGTTGGGCATTCTAAAACCTAAAGAAAGTACTTGTGTGCCTCCCAGTGACGACGACACACCCCCAGATTGAAGTCTACCACTTTTACCATTCAGGGTTTTCATGACTAGGAGTGTCTGCTTTCTATTTTGTTCCAGGATGTTAGCCTCTAAGATGCTCTGTTATCAGGCAACCCCACTGCAGTAAGACTTCTCTGAGCCCCGGATTCCTCACAGAGCTGGTAGGAGAATTGAGTGATGGGTTTAGAGCCATGCTCATAAGACAGACTGATTAACAATGATTAAAAATGGTGTTCACTTTTCTGAATTTAAGAAACAAAACCAGCTGAGGCACTTCTCCATGCAAAGCTTCCATGTTGCTCTGTTTTTGAAAAATTATTTTGGAGTATCTCCACTTGGGTTATCCTCTCCAATCAACCAACCACACACACACACACACACACACACACACACACACACACACACAGAGTTACTAGTAGCTAATCTTTATTTTTCTAATTATTTTACTATTTCCCCCTTTAAAATTTGTAATTTAGACTCAAGTCTGATGGGAGAAAATAATCAAGAGGGGAAAAATTACAGCCTGGCTTTTGAATTTCTCCTCTGTCCTGTGAGTTATCCCCAGAGGCAATTCCAGGCAAGGGCTTGCATAAACATTTAGAATAAAATGGTGGGCAGTCATGGGAAGGTGGAACTTCCTGGGCTTGTTAGTGGAAAGATGGTCTTCATCTATGCTTGACTTAAGAAAAAAAAGATGTGTGTGAGCCCAGCACTTGGGAGGCAGAGGCAGGTGGGTCTCTGTGAGTTCCAGGCCAGCCTGGTCTACAGAGTGAGTTCCAGGACAGGCTTCAAAGCCACACAGAAACCCTGTCTTGGGGGAAAAAAAGATGTGTGTGTGTGTGTGTGTGTGTGTGTGTGTGTGTATGTGTGTGTGTGTGTGTGTGTGTATGTGCGTGCACGTGCCCACACCATGCATTCCTGCAGAGGTCAAAAGGGGTCAAATTTCCTGGAGCTGGAATTACAGGTGGTTGTGAGTCAGTTGGTCAGTTGACCTGGGTGTTGGGAACCCAACTTGGCCCCTCTGGAAGAGCAGCAAGTGCTCTTAACCACTGAGTCATCTCTCTACCTTGGCTTTGTTAAAATGACTTTTTAAAACCTGCAAGTCTCAGTCTTTTGAAGTCACGTGATGGCTGCCAGCCTCAGTTCACAGTTTCGTTGGGGAATGTGGGGAAAGTAAGAGGAAAAACCAGGTCTAAAGAGCAGGGTGGGAAGAGAGAGAAAGGCTTAAGTGAAAGGACAAGCTGAGGCAGAGAAAAGTCAAACTAGCTTAGAGACATCACAGAGAAATCAACCTTGTGAGCAAGAGGACTTAATTATAGCTTGCTCTAAGAGGGAGCTCACAGGACTGTTTGTTTTGGGAAGGGGAGAGGCTGCCCATAGTGGGCTGCAATAAACTTTCCAGACAGACTGACTGGCTCATTATTTCTCATCTGTTCTATCTAGTGATGCCTTTTGAGAACTTGGGTCACTTTTTGGAATCCATTATTTGACTTTTCCCTCCATGTTTTGGACAGTGGCCTACCACCTGTTCCCATCTTTGCTCTTGACTGCAGCAGGCTCCAGGACAAGCAGGGGCTTGAGAGTGGGGACCTGTGGGAACGGAACGGGATGCACGGATGTCTCCGCTGTGACTAGTGATTAGCAGCATGAGAGTGCTTCGCTCCTTTTTCACAGGCCAGGTTTTCCTCAGGTGCTGGCAGAGTTCCCAGACAATTTGCTCTGGGGACAGACTTGGCTAAACTGCTGCTTTTGCCAGCTTGGGGGCCCTCTAGACTTATGAGTTTAAGTGGCCAAAATGGTGTGGAAGAGCACCCGAAGAGACCAGAGTAGGGGAGGACGTGGTACATCGGACCAGGTAGGGTCAGTGTAGGTCACCAGCAGGGGATACGGTAGGGAACACAGCGGGCTGAGTGTTCTCTGTCTACTCCCTTCTGGTGGAAGCTTTCTCTAGCCACAGGGAACAGGGGCCAGTACCACTGAGGAGCCGAGGGGCGAGGGGCCGAGGGGTCGAGGGGCCGACGGACATACAATGTGACTCTAGTCCACATGGGCACGCTACAGAGAAAGTAATAGTGGAAGGTGTGGTGGCTGTCACAGCTGGGCATGGGCTGTGCTGCCTGGAGGGTAGAGCACCTGCTCTCAGCACCAGGGGGGTCTCCTCGCTTCATGCGGGGCCTCCAGGTCTATGGAATGATCCAGAGGCAATGTGGAACTTCACTCCCTGCCCCCCAACACTGTTCATGTAATACCCACCCTGCCCCTTCTGGTTTCCCCTGGGGTGCCTTTTTCAACCAACACTCTGCAGTACTTCAAATGGAATGGAAATCGGCAGGCTGTCTCTGAGCTGCCTGTGTTGGTGGGCAAGCGTGTGGGGGAGGAAGAGGTCACCAGCTTCAGGAGCTGTTGCCAGTTGCCTCAATCTGTGGGAGCTCAGCCACACTGACGTCCCTTAGACAGACTTTTAATGATTTTCATTTGTGGTAGAGTTTTGAAAAGAAGCATGGTCATGAATGATTCAGGGTCCCTAGTTGCTATAGTCCCCAGTATCTTCCAAATGCTCTCACATGGATCCTTGACTAGCTAGGATATTGGAAATACTGGGTACCACTGCCTTTCTGCTGCCATAAGTGTCTGCGCCAGCCAGGCTGCCCCCAGGCAACTGCAAAGCTGGGAACTGGACTTCTGCATGGGTTGGCCAGGTGGCTATGACGTATGCTGTCTCTGTTCTCCGCTTTCCCCCAAATGGAAACAGCCTTATGATAGGCTCTCCCTGCCTCCATCCTCCCATCCCTTCCTCTTCCCTCCCTGATTGCATAACTAATATTCTGTAATTTTAGAAAATATAAGGGCAAAAAATAATCTCAGCTTGCAATATAATATTGGTAACATTATAGCACATATTTCTTGGGTGTTTTCTATGCTGCTGTTTTTAAGTGAAATCACAGACATATATATCCACTTTCTACTATATCATAAATATTACCGGTCAATGTTTATAAATACAGATCTCTATTATAACTTTTGATGGCTGGCTAATAGTCTAGGGCAAACATGTGCTTGGTTTATTTAATCACTTGCCTGTAGTTGGGCATTGCTTGTGTTGTTACTAGGTTACTGTTGATATAAACTGGACTCTTTATATAAACACCACTAAATACTGCTTAGATGTTTCTCTTTAGAGGAATTCTTCACAACATAAGTGCTGGGTCAAATGCTGCCAACCCTTTAAAGGCTTTGATGAAAATTCCCAGCCAGCATGCAGCATCCCAGCAGAAAACAGCACTGCCCTGGTCTTCCCACCTCAACACAGACATCACGAGCCCTCTTCTGCTCTGATAGCCCTTACCCAACACATTTTAACCTGGTGTTCAATACTTTCTTGCCCCCTTTCTGGTATCTTCTATCATCTCCTGGAGCCCCTATTAGACTTGTGCTCCCTCTGCAACAGGAAACACTGATTGAGCTCCTCCCGTGTGCAGGCACCTCTCTAACTATCCTACCACAGTCACAAGAGCCCTCTTTGTGGGAGTGACTGAGGGGCGGTCCCTGGGATCAGGGGAGGGAGCTTGGTGGGGGAGAGGACAATTATGGCATGGTGGAGAGTGAAGTGAATGGGAAAATGTATTGAATGCAGAGAAAAGAGGCTCAGCAAAGCCACTAGGGCTTGAGTTTCCAGGGAAGGCAATGGGGCTGATGGTAAGGTTTCTGGTGGAGAACAGTTCTGCAGAGTGCACAGTAGAGTTTAGACGTTTGCTGTATGTACCAGAGGCAGAGGGTGTTGGTTGGTTTTCTGCCAACTTGATACAAGCTAGAGTCATCTGGGAAGAAGGAACCTCAACTGAGAAAACCCTTCCAGTCGATTGATCTGTGGGCAAGTCTGTGGGGGCATTTTCTTGACTAATTATTGATGTGGGAGGGCCCAGCCCATTGTGGGCAGTGTCGCCCTTGGGCAAGTGGTACTGGGTGGTATAAGAAAGTAGACTGAGTGAGCCATGGAGAGCAAGACAGCAAGCAACATTCCTCTGTGGACTTGGCTTTGTTGTGCCCAAAATCTGAACCCTAAAATCACCAAGAGGCCCATTTTGATGCAAAAGCAAAGAGTATTTTATTGTAGTTGTTTAACAAGCTAATCCATTAGCTTCGGCTTTTCATTTATTCACCATGGCAGATGGCCAGAAACTGTGAGGCAGGCATCTTAAAGGGCAGCGTAAGGGGAGTGTCTAGGGGTATGAAACAGTCTCAGGATTGGTGCACTTCCAGGTTTGGGTGACCTACCCTGTGTTGATTGGTCAACTGGTTGTTATGGCCCATAGGCCCTCCCAGGGTGGTTGCTATGCTCTGCACATCACTGTTGTGCACTGTTCATAAAGCACACCCAGAGCTGTAAAGCACAGCCCTGCCAGCTAACTTCTGATTGGTTCCTTGCCACGAGGAGCGTCTGACCTCCTAGTGACCAGGACAGGAGCGGCAAGGTCATGCAAGCACATGGTAGCCTGTCATGGCTCCTAAAATGGGGGCTGGTCACTTCAGCTTGAGTTCCTATCTCCAGGTTGCTGTCTTGTTTGAGTTCCTGACTTGTGATGGACTGTGACTGGGGTGTGCAGCCAAATTGATCCTTCTCTCCCCAACTTACTTTTGCCCATAGTGTCTATCACAGTAACAGAAACCTAACTAGGACACAGGGCTTGTAATGGAGGGAGTTCATCAGCTCAAGGCAGATTGATGTAAGAAGGTGCTAAGGGTAAGAGAGATGGAGGCATGGAAGACGGGGAAGACAGCCAGGGCTGCCAGTGTGGACAGTGAGTGGGGGGAGGCTGGGGCAATGGGGACTTGGAGCAGAGAAGTGTGAGGTGCAGGCTGTGGGCTTGGAGAAGTTGGAGAATGGGAAGTTCAAGGAGACAAGGCGAGGAAAAGGGTGGCTTAGGATGTAGAAGATGCAAGGGCAGGGTTTTGGATTAGTGCCATGTAAAGACCCAATCAGATTTCAGTGGACACTTCCAAATGGAAACTAAACACGAATTTGTGACTCTGGACACAGATAAGGGAGTAGTTGCCAATCAGAACCTACCAGATGTCCTGCTGCTACACGACACCCGCCACTGGCTATTATGCCTTAATCCAGGCGTGGTGTATTATATTCTGCACAGAGCCTTTGTCCTTGCCTCTGACCTCTGAACCCCCTTTCTTCTCTTAGAAGTGCCTAGATTGTGGTGAAAAAGAATGGGCCAGCCAGATGTGATGGCACAGGCCTTTAATCCCAGAACTCAGAAAGCCTGATTTACAGAGAGTTCCAGGACAGCCAGAGCTACACAGAGAAACCCTGTCTAAACAAACAAACAACAAGCAAAAAAAGCGAACCCAAAAATAGCCAATTCATGTGAAAAAATTGAAAATAAATACTCTAAATTAAATAAATAATAAGTATTTGTAGGCATCTGGTCTGTGGACCTGAAGCGGAGGCCACACACACACCCTTTGGGTGTGGCTTCAGGTAGAGGGAAGCCGAAAGAGAGGCGCTTGAGACTTGGCTTTCCTTGGCTTGCTCATTCTGGTGGGTCAGCGGACTCGGTAAGAGGAGCAGGGAAACATTTCGACGGTTCTTTGTACTTTTCTGTGTAATTGTCCCCAAAAAACAACCATTATCATTTATCTTGGGTCTAGTGATACAATTACATCCTCACCTTCAAGTACTTTTAGCAGTTAGTGGAAAAAGGAGGCCATAAATTTGAAAGAGA